CAAAAGAAACTTCCAAGCAGATGGCTTGCGAATCTAACACGTCATTCAAGGGAACAGAGTCATAGAAACGAGAAAAGAAAGTGATATTAGAAAAAGAGGACCAGAAGAAAATGAGGAGAGAGAAGACCAAATATATGTTTTTAAACGAAGGTGTTCTATCTATTATTAGTATAATTATTCCGGTATATACACAGATGTGTGCGCTCTGATTGGTTGAAGATCGCTTCATATCGCTTCACCTCGCGCGAGGTGATCGTGACTGTGATTATTATTGATGATACTAAATAACCCTGTTACTTATGAATAAAATTGAGTTTTTTTTCTAGAAAAATGCGAGTTCAGTAATCGTCTCGAGCGCTAGAACGAGTGATATCCTCGACAAGAGACAAGATTTTACTTCGAAAAGAAAAAGGCAAAGACTGTTCTGGGAGCTTATGGAAGTCCTTGAATAGTTTGTGACGAGTTTTTAAGCGGGAAAATCGTATAAAGAACAATGCAAAATCAATAAGTATTCTGATCAAATTGGGAAAAAGAAAGAAACGACATTCATAGACTAATCAAAGGGTTTCTTAGAGACAAGTTTTTATTTCCATGAAAAAGGAAAAGTTAAGTGCAAATTAAGGTAGAGTTTAAAGTCCTCCAAGCCGTTAACATTGGTTTGTCGTTACTTTAAGATATTTGCTTTTTTATACCGTCTTAATGTATAGCGTCACTTACTAGTTGAAGAAACACGTGTTCTTTGTCTCCCAGTTAAGATTTTATATCATGAAATGTGCACGTGCGCTCTTTTTGATTGATTTTTGAGTTTAGATGTGAGTATGTAAACACTGCTGTGAAGTCACGCATTTTACGAGAAACATCTCAAAGTTTTCGCGCAAAGAAAAGTCAAAGCAATATATTAAGGCAAAAGAACTTTAAGGCTTTGCTTGCTTCAATGATCATAATCTGGAGGACTTCGCTGAGGGAGTTTTAGGTAATTTTGGAGAATTCCTCCAACCCAAGAGTTTAGGTGACGTTATGCAAACATGAAAAGATTCCCTTGTTGCTTGAGAATGCGAGCTGACTGATTGAACAAAATGTACACAGTGGATGATATTCCTTGACCTTGTTAAAACTTCCTGCTTTTCTACATTTCACTCTTAGCGCCAACGAGAAAATAGGAAAAGACGCCAACCTCAGAATTTTAATGATGTCGTACGTATCTTGCAGAGTCAATACCTATATCAAAGCTTTTTGGGAAAAGAATTAATTTCACGTTAGTGAATTTGACAAGCATGGAATTGACCAATGACATAATTTTTCGAATCATCCCTGTATCTTTTTTTCGCTTCAGTGAATTAATTCTTTGCGTGCATAGCTATTTGTGATCTTCTTTTGACCGTAGCCTCATTAACAATTTATCTCTCAGCTCAGTGAAGAATTTTCCGTAAACACAACCAACTCTTTATAAAACATTGATGGCCTCAAAATTCTTGAAAAAAGAAATTTTCTTCGAAAAGATGATTGCATCATAAGTCCCGCTGTGCTATTTTGCATTTTGCGCGTTACCGTCGAAACACTCCGTCGCATTTCAATTCCTTCAGGACCTCCAGCGATGCAATTTCTTTTCGCTGGGACTCGATGGACACCAACCTAGATTTGAAGAATCATCATGCAGTCTCAGCAAAATAGCGCGAATTCTGGTTAGCAAAGAATTTGCTTTGTACCCCAAAGGCAATTTTTCATAGGAGCAATTGAGCTATTTTTAATTTCATGGTCCTTTCATGATTCTCATTGGAATCGTTCCTCGCCGTTGTAATAAAAAAGTCCTGATCTGAGAAACTGGCTGCTGTGTTCCAAGGAGACGACTTTATCCGTTAGCTCGTTACCATGGGAAAGATACGGAAGAGAGAGTGCTTTAAAGTTCGGCAAGAAGACTTTGAGTAATAATCAAGGGCGTAGATACTAAGGAAGACAAACAAGCACATGTCGTCACCAAATCCCTTTACGAGGCCATAATGTTATTAACAATGGTGTGAAGGACACTTACCGTAATATTATAAAACGGTTTTTCGATACCGTCATTAAAGCGTATCTCAATAACAATAAGTATAAATAAAGTTGAAAAGGGTGGTCTGCCTGCAGACTGCATACTTTGGACCGCACCTTTGCCTAATGAAACAAAGAGAAAAATACGAGAAAGCGCTGTGTACATCCCAGAGAAAGAGATTTATAGGAATCATAGAAAAGCTGAAAGATTCGGTCGGGCTGAAAAAAAATTTAAACTAGGTGGAATATCCAACTGTTGAAAAAAACTTTACCTGTACCACTGTCGCAAAAAAAAATCCTTTGATCAAGAGGCTATTGGAAATGCACAATTGGTCAAGAAAGCGAAGGAGGCCGCTAAAACTTACAAAGAGAAGAAGTTTTACGAGGGAAAACCATCAGCTACCGAACAACCCTTAGAAATGCTGATAAAAGAAACTTCTAAGCAGAAGGCTTGTGAATCTAACACGTCATTCAAAGAGGGCAGATTAATGAAAATCAGAATATAAAGTGAGACATGAAAAAGAGGACAGTGAAAATGAGGAGGGAGAAGGCTCAAGATATGTTACTAACCCTTTCACTCCCGAGATCTCATTAGTAATTCTCCTACTATCTGCCACACGATTCTTATGATGTTAGTTTGGAGAATTTGGTATTGGATCAGCTTGTAGTCCCCTAATTGAGTTTTCTTTTTTATTCTCCTCATTTTTCTGCTTGATATTGCATTGACACTGTGAGAAGAAATTTTCTCTTGGTCACTCATGGGCGTTAAAGAGTTAAACGAGAGTGTTCTATCTATTATTAGTATAATTGTTCTGGTGAATATACAGACGCTCTGATTTGTCGAAGATTGCTTCATATCTCGCCATAATCACCTCGCACGAGGTGATTATGACTAGGTGATCATGACAGAAGCGCTAAATTTTTATATTTTAAAATAGCTGCCTCTTGTTTAGTCAGTGTTGATGAGGAACTGATGATCGTGATAAACAAAATGTATTTCCGAAGAGCACAAAAGATGCTAATAAGTTTGGAGATCACACCATTCAATAGAAAGATATGAAGTATTTGCTGATTGAACTAAAATAAACCTCTCAATTCTCGTTTAAACTGCCTCTTTATACGATTAATCAAAATACTGAATTGAAACAGAATGCTTTTAGCATCAAACGGATATTTATAACACAATCAGAAAGCACCTAGGCAATTATATCCAAAAAATAATTCACCTGCCTGCGAATAATTGTTAAAAAGCGACATCCTAGAAAGGTGAGTCGAAAACCTAAAGGAATAAATTCGCTTTGGAAAGGATTTTGAGATTTCTGAAGAAGAATATCAATAAGTTGCAGCTAATTAGCTTTCTCCCTACGATATTTAGTCCTCCAGGATTTCTTTTTTCATTTCAAACGCATCATTTTCACAATTTAAACGATCACATCGAAGATTCGACGGAACTACCCCAAAGGGCGAGAAAAGCTTTTTCGACTCTCACAAGGATTTTGGAAAAGGCAAGAGATCGATCCAAATCAAGCTTCACGCTACTGTCTTAGAGATACCTCGACTTACAGAAAAACTGAAAAGAAGCATTAATACTATTTTTACTAATATTAATACGATATTAATACGATGGTGTAAACGTTCATTTTCGTAACGAGCTTTCCCAGTTCATCAGAGTTCTCGCGTATAAATAAAGTTTATCATATGAACTACGGTGTTATACAAGGATTTCCAGCCCTGAGAAAAGCCGGAACAACATACGTGAAAAAAAATATCGTTTTATTTCCCCTGTGTTTGATATCGTCAATCAGCTGCTGACACATCACTCAACTTTCGCATCTCTCGGTCAAGTTGATGAACGAACGGCGAAGCCTTCACCATCCTCAATCCAAGGAGGTTTATCGGAATTTCTTCAGATTATGGCTTCTAAAACACTTCAAAAATCCGCACCGCTTACAGACAGTGACATTCAAACTTTCCTAGAGAGGGAAGATAACAAAAGATAGAAAGATAAACCGAAAGTTATGTATTCAGTGGCTTTGGTAATGGCCTTTCTCGCGGCTGAGAACGAAAATCGACAGCTGGACGATTTGCCACATGTCGATTTTGGCCGTGTACCCGAAAGATTTCTTCTGTTGGTAAGGACGAAGTCAACAACTGAGAATTTTTTATATATTTAAAATTACGCCTATTTGTTTTTGCAGTGTTTCAACGCATTTTTTCATCTTGAGTCCTAGCTCCAACGTACTTTATGATTTTTATACGGGGATTGTCGACCTTTTGTTTTAATTCACTAATAAAGTTGAGTTGTCGTGTCGGTAAAGGGGTATTGTGATTGTGTGTATATAATAATAAAAAAAAATATCCCACATGGATGCTTGCATGGATGCCCATGTTCAGCTCGACAAATCACTCGTTCGCTGCACTTACTCGTGAGCTTTCGAGTTCAACACTCGAAGAGAAATTCAATACCTACATGCGCCCATGCATTATTTTCTATTGTTTATTACTATTAACATTATCATCATTATTATAATTATTATTATTATTATTATTATACATGGACGCTTGCATGGATGCTCGTGTTCAACTCAACAAATCACTCGTTCGCTGCGCTTACTCGTGAGCTATCTAGTTAAACACTCCAAGAGAAATTCCATATCTACACGCGCTCATGTATTATTTTCTAATGTTTATTACTATTATTATTATCATCATTATTATTATTATTACAAAGGAGCATGTTTTGTTTATAGACTATCAGGCTTACAAATAAATATTACACTTCTATCGCTGCGTGCATATGGTGAGGGAGATGTTTAAAGCTATACGCATCTCGTTGAGAATAGAAATACTGGCCTTAAAAGGTTAAAAAGAGTTGAACTTGGGACTCCCCTGTCAAACTTCAAACTTTGAATCTATCGCAAAATTGCCACAGACTTCGTGGAAAGCTAGATAACTGTAGTGTCATTGACCGTAATAACAATAATAATGATCATAATAATAACGATGATAATGACAATAATAATAATAATAATAATAATGATAATAACAATAATAATAATAATGATAAATTAATGTTGGTGTTGCTAGGAGTCCTAGAGAACTTGAGCGCAATGCTCGAGATGATTTTCTCTCCTGTAATAGTTCAGAGACATACCCAGGGCACAGTCCATGACGAGCTTTGTAGACAAGGAGTAAAATTTTGAAAACAACGCGATACGAAACAGGAAACCGGTGAAGTTGCTGTAATAAAGGGGTGATGTAATCGTACTTTGAAGAACCAGTGACCAGTCGAGAAGCTGTGTTTTTAACCCTCTGCATTTTTTTAACTTGATATTTGGGTAGACAAAAGTAAACATGGTTACACTAATCTAGTGTTGTAGTTAGAAAAGCATGTACTACCTTAGAAGTGGCCTCATCTGTCAAATATTTACAAATTTTAAACAGGTTTCTAAAGAAGAAAAACGAAGTTCTACAAGGTTGATTTATCTGATCATTGAACAGTATTTCCTGGTCAAAGATGATTCCAAGATTAGTAACTGTTGTAGCCATGGTGAGTTGTTCATTTGCCGAGGATGATCTCGTCCAGTAAAGGGCTATTCCGAAATTTAGAGCGAATTAATAATATTTCAGTTTTCTCTTTGTTAAGCTTTAGCTCGTTTCACTCCATCCATAAGCAAATGACAAATACACAGTCAGCAGTCCGATCAGTAATCGAGTCAATGTCATCATTCTTGAAGGCCACATAGAGCACCCAAATATGACAGACTACTGATTCGGCCCGGGTTGAGTCGCAAGAAAGCGAGGCTAGTAAGGTCTCAGGTTTGCCTCGCGAGGGCAGCCCTTAGAAAGTAATTAGTCGTTGTCAATCTCCTCTGTTTTATTTCGCAGCACCTACGAATTTATGTGTTCCTGAGTGCCATCAAAAGTGAACATCTTTCACAGAGGAAAGGATTTTTTTCCTTCTTGCTCATGAGGAGAAAGAGTGAGTGCATGAAATTTTTCGAGAGGAAGAAAGGGAATTCGCTATCGTTAACATAACCTACTTCTTTTTTTAAAACGGGGTGTGAACTTTTCACAGTTTTAGCGCTCCAAAAAAAGCTAGTTTTACCGTGTAAGAAAATAATCATAATAATAATTACCATCTTAAAATACCAACTAGGAAAATAAAAATGTTAGGAATCGTTAATAGTAATCGAAACAATTATAATGTCAAAAGAGCTAAAGTTATTCGCTAAAATTGAAGTGAGATGATACGATAAAGTCGTTAAGCGGACGAGTTTTGTTTTCGCCGGTGATTTTCCAACTGGAATTGTTTGGTCAGTACCATAACCAAGAAAAAAAATCCTAAAATTTGCCATTCTTTGGAAACAGCTAAGAAGAATTTAAAGATTCCTGCTAAATGGAATTCCACGGTTGTTGAGAAAGATAGATAAGTAAAACGATTGATCTGTGACTTTTATGTAAATAAAGACCTCCTAACTGCCTTTCATGTTTTCGTGTTAGAGAGAGCCGAAAAATGTGGGTGACTTCGCGAGTCAAATGGCTCACCACATATGAAGACACACCAGATGCCAAGTGGATAATGAATCTTGGAAAAAAAATTTTTTCTTCTCATTTTTTCTACGAAAAAAGACGAATTTAGCCGTCGTCTTGGGCGTCAGAACGAGTGATATCTTCGACAAAAGATAGGATTTTACTTCAAGGAGAAAAAAGGTAAAGACTGCTAGAATAGTTTGTGATTTGTAACCTGGCAAGCGTATAAAGAATATTCCAACATCAGTTAATATTCTGATCAAAGTCTGAAAAAGACCGAAACGATATTCATAGACTAATCAAGGTGTTTCCTAGAAACAAAATTTTACTTCTAGATAGAAAGTGAACCGATGAATAAAATTGAAGATTTTTTTTCCTTTTTTTCTTCAAAAAAAGGCGAGTTCAGTAATCGTCTTGAGTGTTAGAACGAGTGATATCTTCAACGAGAGATAGGATTTTACTTCGAAAAGAAAAAAATTGTAAAGACTGCTGCGGAGCTTATGGAAGTCCTTGAATAGTTTGTGATGAACTTTTAAACGGACAATTGTTTAAAGAATAACGAAAAATCAATTAATATTCTGATCGAAGTCGGAAAAAGACCGAAACGACATTCATAGACTAATCAAGGAGTTTCCTAGAAACAACTTTTTACTTCAAAGAAAAAGGGAAAGCTAAATGCAAATTAATGTGCAATTTTAAAGTCTTCCAGGCTGTTAATATTGACTCAAACACGTTTATCGTCTTTAATAACGGAATATTTGCTGCTTTAAATCGTCTGATGTCTCCCTCTTTCTTTGATTAAAAATGCTAGAACTGTGTAACAATTGATATGAACAATATAAAAGATCTAAAAACATTGGCGACAAGATTTTCAAAGAAATTCTAGACTTAGAAGTTATTAGTACTAGCTGTAATAAAAAAGAGGATATTTTTTCGTATAATCCAATTATTCCAATGTGAGCTCAAACGATACCTTTCCGCAGATTTTTAAAATTTAGAAACTTTTGTGTAATTATAGCTTGGGAAATTCCTTCTGATGTTAAAAAAGTTTTTGTTATTGTTGGGCTGGTATAAGTTGCGAATATGGCCATTGTAACAACATAAACCAGTGATTTGCATATACTAGACTATCGAAAATTGCCCAGATTGCCTCGACTTTTTGGCTTCAGGAGAAAATAATATGTATATTGAGTATGAAGGAGACCTTTTTCGAAGTTTTGTACGATATAATAGGGAATTCGAGCGTTTTGGTAATGTTTTTTCTTGAAGTGACGTGCTAGTCACGTCGGTCACGTAACGTGCTTCTTGAGCTTAAATACGCTTATATAAATTGCTCTAAAAATTCGTAGTCTAGGTAGCCCAGAGATTTTATTGCAGTTTCTAAAAGAGGAAGCCTTTTTATTGATAATGGTTGTTTTCTCAGTTTATGGAGCCATATAAGAATGGCCGATTTTAGTCGCCAAAGTTGATGTATGTTTTGATGGGTGAAATTTTACCTGAAATAGAAAATTCGTAAAAAAATCATTTTTTAAGGAATCTTGTAAAATTGCTTCAGAACCTTTGAAAAACATCTCTTGATTCAGAACTTTTATGTAGTTTCCGAATTGCTCGTGAAATGAGTTTTATTTCGGCCGTTATCTTGAGGTGCACTAATTCACCGAGAAAACACAGTTATGAACCCCCAAAACACAAAATGCCACCGCTCTTCCAAAATAATTTTTTTTTCGGCATTTTGATATTTTTCCGTAACTAAGGCCATTCATAGCTATGTTCTGGCAAAGTTTAAAAAAATTTTCAATTTCTTTTAATTTTGAACACCTCTGCTCGATTTTTACAAACGACCACTCTTAAATACTAAAAAACAAAACTATCCTATCATGAAACCCTTCGAGAAACGCCTCTTGGCGTGTCGCAATAATCAACGAATAACGAGCTATAAAGGTGTTAGAAAACTGTATACCAGCGGAAAATTCAAATTTTACCGTGTAAGAAAATAATCATAACATTAATTATCATCATAAAATACCAACAAGAAAGATAAAAATGTTAGTAATCGTGAATAATAATTGAAACAATTGTAATGTCAAAAAAACTAAAGTTATTCGCTGCAATTCAAGTGATATGATATAACAAAGTCGTTCACCGGACGAGTTCTGTGTTGGTCGGTGATACTCCAACTGGATTCGCTTGGTCATTACCGTAACGAAAAAAAGAAAAATCCTTAAAGTTGCCATTCTTTGTTTTGCCTGGGAAACTTCTAAGAAGAATTTGTACGTTCATGAGGATTCCTACAAAATGGTTTCCCAAGGTTGTTGAGAAAGGTAGATAAGAGAAACAAATGATTTATGACGTTTATGTGAATAAAAACCTCCTAACTGACTTCCATGTTTTCGTGTTAGACTGAGCCGAAGAATATAGGTGACTTCGCGTCTCACTGCTGGAGTAGTTTGAGACGGATTTGTAACCTGGCAATGTATAAAGAATACTTCAAAATCAATTAATGTTCTGATCAAAGTCCGAAAAAGACCGAAACGACATTCATAGACTAATCATGGGGTTTCCTAAAAACAAAATTTTACTTCTAGATAGAAAGTGAACTTATGAATAAAATTGAGGCTTTTTTTTTTTTTTTTTTTTTTTTTTTCCAGAAAAAGGCAAGTTCATTAATCATCTTGAGCGTTAGAAAGAGTGATATCTTCGACGAGAGATAGGATTTTACTTCGAAAAGAAAAGACAAAGACTGCTACGGAGCTTATGGAAGTCCTTGAATAGTTTGTGATGAACTTGTAAACGGGCAAGAGTATAAAGAATAACGAAAAATCAATTAATACTCTGATCGAAGTCCGAAAAAAGACCGAAACGACATTCATAGACTAATCAAGGGGTTTCCTAGAAACAAGTTTTCATTTCTGTGAAAAAGGAAAAGCTGAATGCAAATTAAAGTCAATTCAAAGTCCTCCAGGCTTTTAATGTTGACTCAAAACATGTTTATTGTCTTTAATAACGAAATCTTTGCTGCTCTAAACCGTCAGTTGTCTCCCTCTTTATTTGAGAAAAAATGCTAGAACTGTGTAACAATTGATATAAATAACATTAGTCATTGCGGATCTAAAAACATTGGCAAGAAGATTTTCAAACAAATTCTAGACTTAGTAGTTATTACTATTAGGAGGACTTTTCTTCTTATAATCCAATTATTCCAATGTGAGCTCAAACGATACCTTTCCTTAGATTTTTAAAATTTAGAAACTACAAGAAACAGTGCCTCTGAAGTCAACCCAATTGATATCCTTTGGAGAAATAAGAATAACGAAGAGTATCACAACATAGTGGGACTCAATGGGCCATGTGTTTTGTTTACTTCAAAGAAAGATCGAGTAACCCTTGTGTTATAAACGAAGTTTTACTTCAGTTTCTGTAATTAACAGCAAAGTTTGCTTTCAAATTGTTATTGTTATGGTGCCTTTGCCTTTCTCTCTGGGATAGCTTAAATCAATCGCATCATACAGTGTTATTGGTACACATATTCCCCAACAAAATTTGAGGATTAGTAGATAAAAAATTACATGAAACGACGTGGCTCCTTTCAAATCGTGACCCCATAGTGCTGATTCGAAACGAGCACGGGCCATGTCGCTGAAAATCAGCACCGAACATGTTGCAACAAAAACGATAACGAGTAAGGACTTCTTGTTTTCTGTCCAAGCTCTCCACGACCGTAACAAGAAACGTGAATCCATCGCGGCGTCTGATTTTGGTGACATGATCTCCTCGTTGCTCTCAGTATCGTCTTTAGCCAAGGTTACGGAAACCAAACAGAAGTCAATAGACATGGTCAAAATCAACGTAACTTTAAGGACGACTTGAAAAATGGGCGTTTGCAATAAGCAATGGTGCCAAAAGATCATTGCAGAAGCGATGAATCTCAGAAGAAGCATCGCGTACAATGAAAGGCAAGAAAATGTTTTATGTTCTTCATGTACTGAGGGATGTTCATAGCACACTTTCATGATTGCCATCAGGTTACTAAATTGAAAAAACATCATGGACAAGGAAAGAACCCTCAAGAAATTGCAGGATTCCGTAGCTTGAATACGGAAACCATTCCACCATCCCGCGGCATCTGCGACCAGAATTACAACTTGGCAAGCGACTTGAAGACCTAATAATATCCGGCACTTTCTGATAGATCCGTATTTTTTTTCATCTTTGAAGCAGCTCTGTAACAGTAGTCCGTTGAAAAAGATTGCGGCTAAATCCAGTACGAATATCAAAAGAAGAGTTGGCACGGTTAAGGACATGACGCGATGGCGTAATCTTCCTCTCCTCAGTGCGTGGTTGAATTGAGCTGAGCTGTATTGACGTGTGTATTGAGAGCACACACTTATCTTATCTGCATCGGGGAGGGCCAAGGGAGGTCTGGACAAGAATAAAAAACAGAGGAGCGGTTACTTGACCATGATTCTTATCTTACGCATAAAAAGGTTACGGGGTGCAAAATCAACGGCATTTTATGAAAAGTATGAGGTACCACAATCTGAAGGGTAGACCCTTTTGTGTAACGCATATGTAGAGTTTATTCTCTTTGTGTAAGACATTGTTGTGTATTGTTTTTTATTTGTTGTTTCTTTTGAATACCATGTTGTTGTGTAGAAACCTCTTGTAACCTCCATCGGTACCACATATTAACTTATGCGCAGTTGCAACGCGAGATACTTGTATACGTAACTAGTTGATTGAATTGTCCCATTCGAGAAGGAGTATATAAATTTTCAATTATTTTCTCTTAATGTTCGAGGGACTCGTTCCTCAACAAAGAGGAAAGCTCTTTTCACGTGGCTTAATGAACGAAAGTACGATATCATTTTCCTTCAAGAAACTTACAGTACTGTAGATGTTGAAGATATCTGGAAGACGCAATGGCAAGGTAAGCTTCATTTTGCACATGGTTCTAATCACAGTTGTGGGGTGATGATCTTAGTGAGAAGTGACCTTGATTTTAGCGTTAAGTCCGTTAATTTGGATACCGAGGGCCGCTCAATTATAATGGAAGCTGAGGTACAAGGCTCATTATTCTTGTTTGTTAATATTTATGCTCCCAACAAGGTTCAAGACCAATGCCGTTTTTTTGAAAATTTAAATAAAAACATTGAACATTTCGCTGTTAACAAAGAGCATAGGATAATTGTAGGGGGAGATTTCAATGTCACACTGGACTCCGATCTTGATTGTTCCGGTGGAAAACCTTTTAAGAAAGAGTCCAAATACAAGACTTATGTCTCGATTTCGACTTAGTAGATATTTGGCGAATTCGAAATCCGGAATGTAAACGTTTTACGTGGAGGCAAAAAAATCCTTTCATTCAGAGAAGACTTGACTATTGGCCAATCAATGATTCTTCCCAGGATGATATTGAGAAATCTGATATCATTCCTTCGATTAATTCAGACCACTCGGCAATTTTTCTTCATCTTAATAGTTTAGACAAACCGGAATACGGTCCCTCCTTTTGGAAATTTAATGCCAGTCTCATCGACGATGATGATTTTGTCACATTGATAAATGAAAGTGTGCCTATGTGGTTAAAGGGATTCGAAGAAGTTACAGATAAAAGACTGTTGTGGGATTTAATTAAGTACAGAATCAGACAATTTTCAATTAAGTATAGTAAAGAGAAAGCGCTCAAAAAGAGAAAAAAGATCTCTGATCTTGAGACCTCTCTAAGGATTTGTGAGGAAAAGTGCAAAGAGTCACCAACCTTTGAGAATCAGGAGGAGCTTGAAATGTTGAAAATGGAATACGATTCTATTTATGAACAGATAGCAAAGGGAGCCATTATTCGATCAAAAGCCACATGGTATGAGAAAGGCGAAAAAAAAAACAAGTATTTTCTAAATCTGGAAACGCATAAAAAAGCTAAAAGCTCTGTTCGCAGTCTTTAACAGTGAAGGTGTGCTAATCAATACAAAATTTTTATTCCGATCTTTGTAAACATGATCCGCTTAGACCATCAGAGGAGATGCTAAATTTTTTCTTGAATAACTCTGAAATACCGAAACTCACTAATAATGAGGCTCGAAACTGTGATGGAAAATTAACAGTTGACGAGTGTTACAAGAGTCTCCAGCTTTCTGAGAGCAACACGTCACCAGGTAATGATGGATTAACGGCTGAATTTTATAGAGCTTTTTGCACATTTTAGGAAATCTGATGGTAGACAGTTTAAACTACTCTTATGATTATGGCGAGTTGTCAAATTCCCAAAAGGAAGCCATTATTACCTTAATTGAGAAAAAGGATAAAGACAAACGGGATTTGTGGAATTGGAGACCAATCTCACTTATCGATATGGACGTAAAGGGTCAAAAGCTATTGCAAAAGATTAGAGAAGGTCTTACCAAACATCATACATTATAATCAATGTGCATATGTTAAGGGAAGAACTATTTTGACGCAGTCAGAACGATAGAAGATGTCATGGAATTCTTACAAAGGTATAATCTTGAAGGAGAATGATTTGTATAGATTTCAAAAAGACCTTCGATACTGTCAGTAGAGATTTTCTATTTCGCACTCTAACCTCTTTTGGTTTTGGTCCATCATTTTTTTGCAATGGATACACACATTTTACAACAACATCTCAAGTTGTGTCATAAACAATGGTTTTTCTACCCAGCCCTTTGCAGTTGAAAGGGGAGTGAGACAAGGAGACCCCTCTCTGCTTAGCTGTTCATCATGGTGCTAGAAATTCTTTGTACTGGTGTACGCAGTAGTAAAGATATTAATGGTATTAAGGTAGATAACGAAGAGATCAGATTAAGCCTTTTCGCAGATGATTTAACTGGTTTTTTGAAAGATAATCTTTCGCTTGTGAACTTTCTTAAACTTATAGAAGATTACGGGACTTGTTCAGGCCTGAAGATTAACCACGATAAATCAGAAATAATGATATTGGGTAATTGTTCTTCTACTCTACAACAAGACAATGTCGTTTCATGCAACTTAAAAATTAAAAAGTTGTTAAAATTCTGGGAGTGCACTTCACCTATGATTTTCGAAGATAAAACACCTCTCTGAAAAAAAGATATAATGTTTGGCATTTTAAGGTGCGAAGACGAATTATTAATCAATCATATTTTAATAATTGCCAAACAGTATTTATATTCTTGCCGACGGAACAAATCTCTTCCTTCAATTAAAGTATTAAACCTCAAAATTAAAACGATCCACCAACTCGAGACAATGATCGTAAAATCAAATAATAAGCTAAAAGCTCATAATATGAAATGGGACAAGTACAAAAATTATTAGGTGATATAGAATCTCATGTTTGTTGCTGCACTGTACTAGTATTATATTTAGAAGCCGAGGAGAGCTAAGAGGAACTGTGGATTGTGTATGTAGATATATGATGTACCGTGTCTGTCTGTTTATGTGAATTATGTTTGTTTATGAAAAATGTATGTAACTTTGAATTAATAAAAATTAATAAAATACACAAAAAAAAAAAAAATGTAGAGTTGATGGTATTTCAATATATAGGCAGGCTCTGTTGCTATTTTCGGAGAGGTTTCTGAGTGACCCCCATACTGTTCTAAAAGAAAGCATTAGTCCTAAAGGCAACTCTATTGTTTTCGCCATAGTTTCTTTGACCAAAACGAAGTTTGGAGCTGAAATACATTTTACCCACCTTTTTCTTCCCTCTCTAATCAATTTTCGAACTGTTAAAAGTGAACTATGTTTCTAAAAACTAAATAATTCACATATCCGCGTTCAAAACAATTTATGAAATTCAAATCTAAAATTCTAATAAATGCCTAAACGTGACCGTTCCAAAGCTGCTTTCAATTGTGATGAAAATTCGATTTAGCGACGCTTTTTTTCTTCTCAGGCTCTTTTTTAGGTTAATCCCTTGTCGAATTCCTGATCAGGAAAATGATTCTTTATTTTTAATTTAGCATGTTCAACATTTCTTTCTTCTAAGGTGACTATAAGTTTCCAAAACTGCTATTTTGCGTCCTCCGGACTGAATTTATAATCAATTGACTGGCGTGAACGGCGGTAGAACAACAGAAATCAAAGAGCGATTCAACATTAATTTTAGAGAAACCTATTATTGTCTTCTAACGCGATGATATTCATTGTTCTACTAAAAGTTAGTCGAAAAGATGCTAACCGAATGTTCAGATCTTCCTTTGCCGTATAGCCATTGTTGGGCAGGCGAGTGATAAAGTTAGAATCGGGATTCAGATGACAAGAAAGTGGATTAAAATAATTCGAGCCGTTCAACAGGATTAAATAAAAATGTTTTGAAGACGTTCGGCGTCGTGACTCAAGGGACCATGAGAAAATTCATAAACTGCTGAATTAAAAGAGCTATCCCTCAAGCGATTAAAGGGAGGAGAGATTGAGTTGTCTTGTCAGCCATCATAGAAGCAATAAATAAGAATACAGATTAAGCTACAAAATTCAGAGTACTTAGATTAAGGGTATACTCTCCCTTGTCGAGCAAATCTTTCGAGGTAGCCTGAAGCCATTATTAATTTGATATTTTTTGTATCCGCCAGACGTTGTTGGACTTGCAAAGTTAGTTGAATGATCAAAAAGCTTCGCGTTGTCTATTGTACAATCGGCTGGTAAACTAATATTTCCATGCATTCATTACCTTCTCTTCGGCAATCCTTCGAGTAAACTTGTACTCGACAAGGCTCAGATCAGGAGTGGTCCGTCTGGTGGGATTGCGGGTACCAATATCGATTTCTCGAATTGAAATTTCAACTCCTGCAGCTTGAAAGAGGCTAATACATAATATAGTTGCGTCGGAAGCTGACCCACTAGCTTTTATTTCAGGGAAATCAAGGATCGGTACGTTATGTTGGCGTTGAATCAGCTCGACGGATTTTCCTCTTCAACTCGTCTAGTCAGGAAATTCAGGCGAGACCAGAGCTGTTGCGCACTTTTGTCCGCTTCCTACGAGGGTGTTTGTACGAATTCCTTGGAATTGCAGGATGTTCAGAGTCTCCCGCCGAGATAGCGGCAGCCGACGCACTTCGCCGCCATTGCTGAAGACATTAGCATCGATCATGCTACGTTTAGAAGAACTCTGAAAATCTTCAAAAGTTTTCTCCAGGGCAGCAATTTCAAATTTAGGGCTGTCATTCTCTTTTTTTAGGCGAATGAACAGACGGATTAGGCATAGTTAGACAGAATCATTTGAATCAACGCGGAGCGATCAAAAGTGCGTTCGCACACTTCGCGTGCATGAACTTTGTTTTGTATGAACAAGAATATCATTTTTAATATTGCAGGTGTAAACTCAGTTTTTTAACTTTTCTTGGAAAAAAATTGGTATGGATCCATTTACCTGTGACATTAAGTTGAATTACGCTCGAATTTTGATTAGTTAATTCTATCGTATGATCTGCTGCAGCATAAACGCATAGGTTGCGTCATCATTAACATACTATTTTTCGTTGTTATCATATAGAACAAAAGGAATTTATGTTGCCATGGGTCTACTCGGTTATATGTTACAGAAGATTTCAATATGCGGTAAGAACATCAGTGAAACTCTCAGCTTCACCTCTTATGCCACTATTTTGCTCTTACATTATTTTTAAATTATGATGATAAACTGATTACCCCAGAGAACCAGGAGCTCAAGGAAAAGTGGATATCCTTATATCTTGCCACGTATCAGAACTGAACGTCATAAACGCTGTTTTGTAAACAGATGCCTTTTCAGTTTTATCTAATAGTTTTTCATACATTCGTAAATAGTTTGTAATTAGCTTTTCATAACAGTCAGTTCTATGAAATTTTAGGTCAAGACGTATGACTCTGAGCGCGTTTCCTTTGGTATTTATTACTGAAAAGACGGTATTTATTTCTGTTCCAGGACTTGCCCTCATCGTTCGCGCCTCGTAAATGGGCACCATGTTCACAAAACTTATTTAACGCAGATAATATTGCTACTCACAGTAAGAAACCAACATTTCTTTATACATAATTAACATAAATACATACTCCGTTAGTTTAGGTAGGAAACGACCGAACTGGGTACGAAACGCATCAACTGACCAGCTATTAAATGATCATGAGAAAGAAACGACCGGCAACCACACAGAGTCACTGGCACAACTACCTGTGAAATGCTTGGCAAGTTCCGAAGTAACTGAGAATCTTTTTAAAAATTATGCGCAGCTTTAGACGAATTGATGAAAAAGAATAGGAAAAGAGGAAAAGGTGGAGATTCTATTCATGCAAACGATGGGTATGGATTTTACAAATTTTTGCTAAGCTTTCAAAACAGTGGATCACTTTAAGAACTGTTCCCAGTGAATAAAAGTGCGCTTTGCATGGCATTTAATAAAATATAACGCGTGAAATGAATGAATAAATTTGGTCGCAATAAATTTATGTTAATTTTATCTTTCATCTGCTTCAATTTCTCATCTCTGCTGAAACAATAGTAGAGCGACTTAATTTTACACGCCAGTTTAGGTTTTGCATATCGACGTATTCTAGAAACAAAGTAGATGATTAGTGGTAAATATTCAAAATATTCAAAAAGTCCCCTTCGCTCAAAAGAAAAAAAAAATTGAAAAGTCCCGAACAGCCACCGAGAAGAGAACTTCATTGGAAACTTGGTTTTGTGTCCCTCGTTGTATAGTTACCGCAACGATTATTTCATTCCTAGGTAGTGATACCCACAAGTGATCTTTAGAAGAGATCTTTTATTTTTCTGACTGGTTGTATTTCCCATCGTAGAAGCCAACTCACATTCCATCGGAGAAGCTAAGTTAGATTAACTTGAGGGATCAAATGTGCCAATGAATTATATTATGATGCTTTTTTGGAGCTTTCCTTCTCATATTTTGTCAAATTAACAAAGCTTGACAAAAACCCTGACAGAGCAAAAGTTGAGAGCTCTTCAAAATGGATATAAACGTAAAATATAGGACGTCAGTTGTAAGTTTCTTAACTTTGACTAAAATGTGCGAAACTATTTTCAGCCCTAGTGGAATGTATGAATTACAGTGTACTGAGCAAGCCCGATCGAGGTTGTCTCAAAATGTTTATTAACACTGGTGCTATATATTTTCAAACTAAACCCACCCGAATCAAACTCATAGAAAGCCTTTGCATGACCAAGGCTAGAAAATTCTCAGGGTAACAAAACGTAAAAGTAAAGAAAAAAAAAACTGCAAGAGTAGAACAAAATAACAGGAATTATCTATACAAGTGATTCTACAAGACAAACGCTTAAGAAAACAATGTTATTCACACCCATTCATTCCGGAAACAAGGATCAGCAATGTCGATAGCGTAATGATTGTAGAAATAATGGAGATGGTAAGTTTTGAGCTCGGTAAAGAAATCGAAAAAGGTGTTTTTTGTCTTGCGTGAGACGAGGAGAAAATTCTGAGTCCCCATGAGGAATCGAACCTCAGGCATTCGGATGCCGCGCTCCGATGCTCTATCACTGAGCCACAGAGACTCCGCAGTGAGCGAGATCTATTACGAAGTTGATATAACACGCGTCCTGCATACTGCTATATGAAATTGGTAATAGACCTCGCTCACCGTGGAGTTTCTGTGACTCAGTAGTGGGGCATCGGAGCGCGGAATCTGAAGGTCTGAGTTTCGATTCCTCATTGGGACGCAGAATTTTTCCTTTGTCCCACGCTCGTGACAAGACGAAAAACATCTTTCTCTATCATCTTTCTCACATCAACTATATTCACTATTTCGTTACCAAGGCGAAGATACGGAAGAGGATAGAGAGAGGGCATCTTTAAAGTTCGGAAGGAAGACTTGAGTGACAATCAAGGGCGTAAATACTGAAGAAGATGAACAGCCAAATGTCGTCACCTAATCCCAGACGAGGCCGTCATGTTATTAATAATGGTATGAAGGACATATACCGCGACATTATAAAACGTTTTGTCGATACCTTCGGTACAACTTATCTCGATAGCAATAATTATTTAAACCTTGTACAGCTGATTATCATAAATGAGGTTAGAATGGGTGGTCTGCCTGCAGACTGCGTGCTTCGGACCGCACCTATGCCTCATGAAACAAGGAGAAAAATTAAGCAAAGCACTTTGTACACCCCAGAGGGAGAGACCTATACGAATTATAGAAACGCTGAATTTTATTCAAAGTCACTATATTGATGCGTGATATTTGCCTCTCACTCAGAGAGGAAAACAAAATGCCTGAGGATCTTGATGATGAAATGGGTGGGCTCCGTCATTTCATTACTGACGACTTTAACAGTGATGTGTTTGTTGATGAGCAAGCTAAAGCTTGGTGGGAAAGAGAAAGAGGTCCAGGTGACGCCTATAGGCTCGAAAACTTGATACAGCAAGTGAATGAAATGTTGATGAAAATAGCTGTCGAGGGCACGATACAGCTTGTTATAAATTGGGGACAGTGGGCTTTTCGTGTGTCAGAGGGGTTCAGATACAATCATTTGCAATGAACTGTAAAATACCAAATTAATAAATTCTTCTCCATCCATACTCCGAATGAAAACACTGAAGGAATCAATTGAAAATTACTGATTGGCTTGAAGAAATCCATTGTATATCAATGGTTTGCTGGATGGAATCAATTGTAAATTGTTGGTTGACTCGAAGGAATCAATTGTAAATAGGTGGTTTTCTTGAAGGAATAATTTGAAGCTAAATGGTTTACTTGATGGAATAAATTTTTTTTTTATTTTTGAATTAATGGTTGGTTTGATAGCTGCTTGCGGCGTACCAAACCTTTAGCGTGAATAGTTTTATTCTTGTTTCCTTTTAATTAATGCCTTGCTGTTACGTTTCACTAGCTAGAAAAGGCGATACTGTTTTAGAAAAAAGGAGGAGGGGAGGCTAACTGCCCCTTTTTTTAACTCACCCCACTCTTTAACCCCCGCCAAAAAAAACAAAACAAAACACAAAACAAAACAAAAGAAAACAAAACGAAACGAAACGAAACGAAACGAAACGAAACGAAACGAAACAAAACAAAACAAAACAAAACGAAACAAAAACAAAACAAAGCAAAACATAAAGAAAAACAAATTAAGTCATGATGACGGTCATAAATAGGACAATGTAACAGAAGGGCTTCTTCAGCTTTCTTCCTGCTTAATGTTCCAACTCATTAAAAACGTTTTACAGTGGTGTGCCGATATCTAAGGTGCACAGCATTATAGCTGTCAATAGAGAATATGAAGGGAAAAATAATGATCAATGACACGTAAGCGAATGAAGAACTAGGTTACTTAATATATTCTGAATAACCCGGATCAGATTGTTAAAACAGGTAACAGAGATTACTTATAGGACTGCAGCTTTCGCAATTAGTGCAGTTATGTGACCTTTTTGGCCTTAAATTTGGAAGCTTTATCGCAGAAGAAATGTTATCTATTTCGCCAATACGATCTCTTGAGCCGGTCAGTTTAGGTGTCAGATGACTGTAAGCGACGATCTCTTTCCATAAAAAATTAGAAATAACTTTAATAAATGAAAAAAGCTCCTTGCGAGTCCATGGAAAACCCGGTTGCTTGATATCCTAAAAAGGCGCCAGTGATTTTCGATATTTATGTACCTTATATTTATGTATCTTAGTTTAATGTTTGATAAACGTTTACGTTTGTTGATAAACAAACAACAAATATCACAAGTACTTAGAAGTGTATGCGGTTGGGTCAAGTTAGTGTAAGCATGACAATGGAAAAGGATGGACGATTTCCACCAATGTCCTTCGTAGTTGATGATTCTTCGAAGAAATCCATTCAAAGTAAGGGTGGCTCTAAGCTTTGTCTTGATCGGAAATCGTACTTTTGCTGAACAATTTCATCACACGTTTCTATCGATCAAGTGGGTCACGGATCACACTAGTTTTTACTTTTAAAACCTCTCACTAACTGGGTTGTGGTTGTAGTATTTTCCTGTCAAGTTCGATAGCTACTGTTCTGATGGATGTTTCTCTTGCAAACTTCCTCCTCATACGCCCTTGCTCCTGCTCTTTTGAAACTAATTATGATTACGTGGCAGAGCACGTTTAGTCAAACTATGACACTGCAGTAAAATTACTGAAAAGAAAGGGGAAAAAAAAGAACCAATGTCATGAACTCTAGGCTACTAGAAAATTTCTCATTTTTTGCGACAAACCCATCTTAAAATCTTGTTTCCTCAGGCTCAATCCTTTCGAAGTGCCCTCAATTTTTAACCAATGGCGTCTGCATCGAGGGACGAGCAGGATGAAAGCATTGAGACGATGTTTGGCCAAAAAATCCCGTTAAGTCCAGATGTAAAATATGTCATAGACAAAGGGATTGAGGAGTCAAGATTGATGGACCCCGAGAAAAGGGCACAAGTGATTGAAAGTGCAGGATATTTATGTTACGACATAATGATTGTCGAGAGCCTACGAGATCATGAAGATGCGAAGGTAGCCAAGGGAGCGAAACAGGCTGCTGAAAATTGCATAAAAACGTTTAAAGGAGATGAAACATTCACCTGTTGAAAAAAATCTTATATGTACCACTGTCGCAAGAAGAAGCCATAGAACATATAGGATATGCAAAATTGTTCGAAGAAACAAAGGAGGCCGCCGAAGATTACAAAGAGATGAAGTTTGATGAGGAAAACCATCAGCTACCAAAGAACCCTTGGAAATTCTGCCAAAAGAAACTTCCAAGCAGATGGCTTTGCGAATCTAACACGTCATTCAAGGAACAGAGTCATAGAAACGAGAAAAGAAAGTGATATTAGAAAAAGAGGACCAGAAGAAAATGAGGAGAGAGAAGACCAAATATATGTTTTTAAACGAAGGTGTTCTATCTATTATTAGTATAATTATTCCGGTATATACACAGATGTGTGCGCTCTGATTGGTTGAAGATCGCTTCATATCGCTTCACCTCGCGCGAGGTGATCGTGACTGTGATTATTATTGATGATACTAAATAACCCTGTTACTTATGAATAAAATTGAGTTTTTTTTCTAGAAAAATGCGAGTTCAGTAATCGTCTCGAGCGCTAGAACGAGTGATATCCTCGACAAGAGAAAAGATTTTACTTCGAAAAGAAAAAGGCAAAGACTGTTCTGGGAGCTTATGGAAGTCCTTGAATAGTTTGTGACGAGTTTTTAAGCGGGAAAATCGTATAAAGAACAATGCAAAATCAATAAGTATTCTGATCAAATTGGGAAAAAGAAAGAAACGACATTCATAGACTAATCAAAGGGTTTCTTAGAAACAAGTTTTTATTTCCATGAAAAAGGAAAAGTTAAGTGCAAATTAAGGTAGAGTTTAAAGTCCTCCAAGCCGTTAACATTGGTTTGTCGTTACTTTAAGATATTTGCTTTTTTATACCGTCTTAATGTATAGCGTCACTTACTAGTTGAAGAAACACGTGTTCTTTGTCTCCCAGTTAAGATTTTATATCATGAAATGTGCACGTGCGCTCTTTTTGATTGATTTTTGAGTTTAGATGCGAGTATGTAAACACTGCTGTGAAGTCACGCATTTTACGAGAAACATCTCAAAGTTTTCGCGCAAAGAAAAGTCAAAGAAATATGTTAAGGCAAAAGAACTTTAAGGCTTTGCTTGCTTCAATGATCATAATCTGGACGACTTCGCTGAGGGAGTTTTAGGTAATTTTGGAGAATTCCTCCAACCCAAGAGTTTAGGTGACGTTATGCAAACATGAAAAGATTCCCTTGTTGCTTGAGAATGCGAGCTGACTGATTGAACAAAATGTACTCAGTGGATGATATTCCTTGACCTTGTTAAAACTTCCTGCTTTTCTACATTTCACTCTTAGCGCCAACGAGAAAATAGGAAAAGACGCCAATCTCAGAATTTTAATGATGTCGTACGTATCTTGCAGAGTCAATACCTATATCAAAGCTTTTTGGGAAAAGAATTAATTTCACGTTAGTGAATTTCACAAGCATGGAATTGAACAATGACATAATTTTTCGAATCATCCCTGTATCTTTTTTTCGCTTCAGTGAATTAATTCTTTGCGTGCATAGCTATTTGTGATCTTCTTTTGACCGTAGCCTCATTAACAATTTATCTCTCAGCTCAGTGAAGAATTTTCCGTAAACACAACCAACTCTTTATAAAACATTGATGGCCTCAAAATTCTTGAAAAAAGAAATTTTCTTCGAAAAGATGATTGCATCATAAGTCCCGCTGTGCTATTTTGCATTTTGCGCGTTACCGTCGAAACACTCCGTCGCATTTCAATTCCTTCAGGACCTCCAGCGATGCAATTTCTTTTCGCTGGGACTCGATGGACACCAACCTAGATTTGAAGAATCATCATGCAGTCTCAGCAAAATAGCGCGAATTCTGGTTAGCAAAGAATTTGCTTTGTACCCCAAAGGCAATTTTTCATAGGAGCAATTGAGCTATTTTTAATTTCATGGTCCTTTCATGATTCTCATTGGAATCGTTCCTCGCCGTTGTAATAAAAAAGTCCTGATCTGAGAAACTGGCTGCTGTGTTCCAAGGAGACGACTTTATCCGTTAGCTCGTTACCATGGGAAAGATACGGAAGAGAGAGTGCTTTAAAGTTCGGCAAGAAGACTTTGAATAATAATCAAGGGCGTAGATACTAAGGAAGACAAACAAGCACATGTCGTCACCAAATCCCTTACGAGGCCATAATGTTATTAACAATGGTGTGAAGGACACTTACCGTAATATTATAAAACGGTTTTTCGATACCGTCATTAAAGCGTATCTCAATAACAATAAGTATAAATAAAGTTGAAAAGGGTGGTCTGCCTGCAGACTGCATACTTTGGACCGCACCTTTGCCTAATGAAACAAAGAGAAAAATACGAGAAAGCGCTGTGTACATCCCAGAGAAAGAGATTTATAGGAATCATAGAAAAGCTGAAAGATTCGGTCGGGCTGAAAAAAATTTTAAACTAGGTGGAATATCCAACTGTTGAAAAAAACTTTACCTGTACCACTGTCGCAAAAAAAAATCCTTTGATCAAGAGGCTATTGGAAATGCACAATTGGTCAAGAAAGCGAAGGAGGCCGCTAAAACTTACAAAGAGAAGAAGTTTTACGAGGGAAAATCATCAGCTACCGAACAACCCTTAGAAATGCTGATAAGAGAAACTTCTAAGCAGAAGGCTTGTGAATCTAACACGTCATTCAAAGAGGGCAGATTAGTGAAAATCAGAATATAAAGTGAGACATGAAAAAGAGGACACAGTGAAAATGAGGAGGGAGAAGGCTCAAGATATGTTACTAACCCTTTCACTCCCGAGATCTCATTAGTAATTCTCCTAGTATCTGCCACACGATTCTTATGATGTTAGTTTGGAGAATTTGGTATTGGATCAGCTTGTAGTCCCCTAATTGAGTTTTCTTTTTTATTCTCCTCATTTGTCTGCTTGATATTGCATTGACACTGTGAGAAGAAATTTTCTCTTGGTCACTCATGGGCGTTAAAGAGTTAAACGAGAATGTTCTATCTATTATTAGTATAATTGTTCTGGTGAATATACAGACGCTCTGATTTGTCGAAGATTGCTTCATATCTCGCCATAATCACCTCGCACGAGGTGATTATGACTAGGTGATCATGACAGAAGCGCTAAATTTTTATATTTTAAAATAGCTGCCTCTTATTTAGTCAGTGTTGATGAGGAACTGATGATCGTGATAAACAAAATGTATTTCCGAAGAGCACAAAAGATGCTAATAAGTTTGGAGATCCCACCATTCAATAGAAAGATATGAAGTATTTGCTGATTGAACTAAAATAAACCTCTCAATTCTCGTTTAAACCGCTTCTTTATACGATTAATCAAAATACTGAATTGAAACAGAATGCTTTTAGCATCAAACGGATATTTATAACACAATCAGAAAGCACCTAGGCAATTATATCCAAAAAATAATTCACCTGCCTGCGAATAATTGTTAAAAAGCGACATCCTAGAAAGGTGAGTCGAAAACCTAAAGGAATAAATTCGCTTTGGAAAGGATTTTGAGATTTCTGAAGAAGAATATCAATAAGTTGCAGCTAATTAGCTTTCTCCCTACGATATTTAGTCCTCCAGGATTTCTTTTTTCATTTCAAACGCATCATTTTCACAATTTAAACGATCACATCGAAGATTCGACGGAACTACCCCAAAGGGCGAGAAAAGCTTTTTCGACTCTCACAAGGATTTTGGAAAAGGCAAGAGATCGATCCAAATCAAGCTTCACGCTACTGTCTTAGAGATACCTCGACTTACAGAAAAACTGAAAAGAAGCATTAATACTATTTATACTAATATTAATGCGATATTAATACGATGGTGTAAACGTTAATTTTCGTAACGAGCTTTCCCAGTTCATCAGAGTTCTCGCGTATAAATAAAGTTTATCATATGAACTACGGTGTTATACAAGGATTTCCAGCCCTGAGAAAAGCCGGAACAACATACGTGAAAAAATATCGTTTTTATTTCCCCTGTGTTTGATATCGTCAATCAGCTGCTGACACATCACTCACCTTTCGCATCTCTCGGTCAAGTTGATGAACGAACGGCGAAGCCTTCACCATCCTCAATCCAAGGAGGTTTATCGGAATTTCTTCAGATTATGGCTTCTAAAACACTTCAAAAATCCGCACCGCTTACAGACAGTGACATTCAAACTTTCCTAGAGAGGGAAGATAACAAAAGATGGAAAGATAAACCGAAAGTTATGTATGCAGTGGCTTTGGTAATGGCCTTTCTCGCGGCTGAGAACGAAAATCGACAGCTGGACGATTTGCCACATGTCGATTTTGGCCGTGTACCCGAAAGATTTCTCCTGTTGGTAAGGACGAAGTCAACAACTGAGAATTTTTTATATATTTAAAATTACGCCTATTTGTTTTTGCAGTGTTTCAACGCATTTTTTCATCTTGAGTCCTAGCTCCAACGAGCTTTACGATTTTTATACGGGGATTGTCGACCTTTTGTTTTAATTCACTAATAAAGTTGAGTTGTCGTGTCGGTAAAGGGGTATTGTGATTGTGTGTATAAAATAATAAAAAAAAATATCCCACATGGATGCTTGCATGGATGCCCATGTTCAGCTCGACAAATCACTCGTTCGCTGCACTTACTCGTGAGCTTTCGAGTTCAACACTCGAAGAGAAATTCAATACCTACACGCGCCCATGTATTATTTTCTATTGTTTATTACTATTATTATTATCATTATTATTATTATTATTACAAAGGAGCATGTTTTGTTTATAGACTATCAGGCTTACAAATAAATATTACACTTCTATCGCTGCGTGCATATGGTGAGGGAGATGTTTAAAGCTATACGCATCTCGTTGAGAATAGAAATACTGGCCTTAAAAGGTTAAAAAGAGTTGAACTTGGGACTCCCCTGTCAAACTTCAAACTTTGAATCTATCGCAAAATTGCCACAGACTTCGTGGAAAGCTAGATAACTGTAGTGTCATTGACCGTAATAACAATAATAATGATCATAATAATAACGATGATAATGACAATAATAATAATAATAATGATAATAACAATAATAATAATAATGATAATAGTAATAATAATAATAATAATAATAATAATAATGATAAATTAATGTTGGTGTTGCTAACAGTCCAAGAGAACTTGAGCGCAATGCTCGAGATGATTTTCTCTCCTGTAATAGTTCAGAGACATACCCAGGGCACAGTCCATGACGAGCTTTGTAGACAAGGAGTAAAATTTTGAAAACAACGCGATACGAAACAGGAAACCGGTGAAGTTGCTGTAATAAAGGGGTGATGTAATCGTACTTCGAAGAACCAGTGACCAGTCGAGCAGCTGTGTTTTTAACCCTCTGCATTTTTTTAACTTGATATTTGGGTAGACAAAAGTAAACATGGTTACACTAATCTAGCGTTGTAGTTAGAAAAGCATGTACTACCTTAGAAGTGGCCTCATCTGTCAAATATTTACGAATTTTAAACAGGTTTCTAAAGAAGAAAAACGAAGTTCTACAAGGTTGATTTATCTGATCATTGAACAATATTTCCTGGTCAAAGATGATTCCAAGATTAGTAACTGTTGTAGCCATGGTGAGTTGTTCATTTGCCAAGGATGATCTCGTCCAGTAAAGGGCTATTCCGAAATTTAGAGCGAATTAATAATATTTCAGTTTTCTCTTTGTTAAGCTTTAGCTCGTTTCGCTCCATCCATAAGCAAATGACAAATACACAGTCAGCAGTCCGATCAGTAATCGAGTCAATGTCATCATTCTTGAAGGCCACATAGAGCACCCAAATATGACAGACTACTGATTCGGCCCGGGTTGAGTCGCAAGAAAGCGAGGCTAGTAAGGTCTCAGGTTTGCCTCGCGAGGGCAGCCCTTAGAAAGTAATTAGTCGTTGTCAATCTCCTCTGTTTTATTTCGCAGCACCTACGAATTTATGTGTTCCTGAGTACCATCAAAAGTGAACATGTTTCACAGAAGAGAGGATTTTTTGCTTCTCGCTCATGAGGAGAAAGAGTGAGCGCATGAAATTTTTCGAGAGTAAGAAAGGGAATTCGCTATCGTTAACATAACCTACTTCTTTTAAAAACGGGGTGTGAACTTTTCACAGTTTTAGCGCTCCAAAATAACAGCTAGTTTAACCTTGTAAGAAAATAATCATCATAATAATTACCATCATAAAATACCAACTAGGAAAATAAAAATATTAGGAATCGTTAATAGTAATCGAAACAATTATAATGACAAAAGAGCTAAAGTTATTCGCTAAAATTGAAGTGAGATGATACGATAAAGTCGTTAAGCGGACGAGTTTTGTTTTCGCCGGTGATTTTCCAACTGGAATTGTTTGGTCAGTACCGTAACCAAGAAAAAAAATCCTAAAACTTACCATTCTTTGGAAACAGCTAAGAATAATTTAAAGATTCCTGCTAAATGGAATTCCACGGTTGTTGAGAAAGATAGATAAGTAAAACGATTGATCTGTGACTTTTATGTGAATAAAGACCTCCTAAGAGTGATATCTTTAACGAGAGATAGGATTTTACTTCGAAAAGAAAAAAGTGTAAAGACTGCTGCGGAGCTTATGGAAGTCCTTGAATAGTTTGTGATGAACTTTTAAACGGACAATTGTTTAAAGAATAACGAAAAATCAATTAATATTCTGATCGAAGTCGGAAAAAGACCGAAACGACATTCATAGACTAATCAAGGAGTTTCCTAGAAACAAATTTTTACTTCAAAGAAAAAGGAAAAGCTAAATGCAAATTAATGTGCAATTTTAAAGTCTTCCAGGCTGTTAATATTGACTCAAACACGTTTATCGTCTTTAATAACGGAATATTTGCTGCTTGAAATCGTCTGATGTCTCCCTCTTTCTTTGATAAAAAATGCTAGAACTGTGTAACAATTGATATGAACAATATAAAAGATCTAAAAACATTGGCGACAAGATTTTCAAAGAAATTCTAGACTTAGAAGTTATTAGTACTAGCTGTAATAAAAAAGAGGATTTTTTTTCGTATAATCCAATTATTCCAATGTGAGCTCAAACGATACCTTTCCGCAGATTTTTAAAATTTAGAAACTTTTGTGTAATTATAGCTTGGGAAATTCCTTCTGATGTTAAAAAAGTTTTTGTTATTGTTGGGCTGGTATAAGTTGCGAATATGGCCATTGTAACAACATAAACCAGTGATTTGCATATACTAGACTATCGAAAATTGCCCAGATTGCCTCGACTTTTTGGCTTCAGGAGAAAATAATATGTATATTGAGTATGAAGGAGACCTTTTTCGAAGTTTTGTACGATATAATAGGGAATTCGAGCGTTTTGGTAATGTTTTTTCTTGAAGTGACGTGCTAGTCACGTCGGTCACGTAACGTGCTTCTTGAGCTTAAATACGCTTATATAAATTGCTCTAAAAATTCGTAGTCTAAGTAGCCCAGAGATTTTATTGCAGTTTCTAAAAGAGGAAGCCTTTTTATTGATAATGGTTGTTTTCTCAGTTTATGGAGCCATATAAGAATGGCCGATTTTAGTCGCCAAAGTTGATGTATGTTTTGATGGGTGAAATTTTACCTGAAATAGAAAATTCGTAAAAAAATCATTTTTTAAGGAATCTTGTAAAAAATGCTTCAGAACCTTTGAAAAACATCTCTTGATTCAGAACTTTTATGTAGTTTCCGAATTGCTCGTGAAATTAGTTTTATTTCGGCCGTTATCTTGAGGTGCACTAATTCACCGAGAAAACACAGTTATGAACCCCCAAAACACAAAATGCCACCGCTCTTCCAAAATAATTTTTTTTTCGGCATTTTGATATTTTTCCGTAACTAAGGCCATTCATAGCTATGTTCTGGCAAAGTTTGAAAAAATTTTCAATTTCTTTTAATTTTGAACACCTCTGCTCGATTTTTACAAACGACCACTGTTAAATACTAAAAAACAAAACTATCCTATCATGAAACCCTTCGAGAAACTCCTCTTGGCGTGTCGCAATAATCAACGAATAACGAGCTATAAAGGTGTTAGAAAACTGTATACCAGCGGAAAATTCAAATTTTACCGTGTAAGAAAATAATCATAACATTAATTATCATCATAAAATACCAACAAGAAAGATAAAAATGTTAGTAATCGTGAATAATAATTGAAACAATTGTAATGTCAAAAAAACTAAAGTTATTCGCTGCAATTCAAGTGATATGACATAACAAAGTCGTTCACCGGACGAGTTCTGTGTTGGTCGGTGATACTCCAACTGGATTCGCTTGGTCAGTACCGTAACGAAAAAAAGAAAAATCCTTAAAGTTGCCATTCTTTGTTTTGCCTGGGAAACTTCTAAGAAGAATTTGTACGTTCATGAGGATTCCTACAAAATGGTTTCCCAAGGTTGTTGAGAAAGGTAGATAAGAGAAACAAATGATTTATGACGTTTATGTGAATAAAAACCTCCTAACTGACTTCCATGTTTTCGTGTTAGACTGAGCCGAAGAATATAGGTGACTTCGCGTCTCACTGCTGGAGTAGTTTGAGACGGATTTGTAACCTGGCAATGTATAAAGAATACTTCAAAATCAATTAATGTTCTGATCAAAGTCCGAAAAAGACCGAAACGACATTCATAGACTAATCATGGGGTTTCCTAAAAACAAAATTTTACTTCTAGATAGAAAGTGAACTTATGAATAAAATTGAGGTTTTTTTTTTTTTTTTTTTTTTTTTTTCAGAAAAAGGCAAGTTCAGTAATCATCTTGAGCGTTAGAAAGAGTGATATCTTCGACGAGAGATAGGATTTTACTTCGAAAAGAAAAGACAAAGACTGCTACGGAGCTTATGGAAGTCCTTGAATAGTTTGTGATGAACTTGTAAACGGGCAAGAGTATAAAGAATAACGAAAAATCAATTAATACTCTGATCGAAGTCCGAAAAAGACCGAAACGACATTCATAGACTAATCAAGGGGTTTCCTAGAAACAAGTTTTCATTTCTGTGAAAAAGGAAAAGCTGAATGCAAATTAAAGTCAATTCAAAGTCCTCCAGGCTTTTAATGTTGACTCAAAACATGTTTATTGTCTTTAATAACGAAATCTTTGCTGCTCTAAACCGTCAGTTGTCTCCCTCTTTATTTGAGAAAAAATGCTAGAACTGTGTAACAATTGATATTAATAACATTAGTCATTGCAGATCTAAAAACATTGGCAAGAAGATTTTCAAACAAATTCTAGACTTAGTAGTTATTACTATTAGGAGGATTTTTCTTCTTATAATCCAATTATTCCAATGTGAGCTCAAACGATATCTTTCCTTAGATTTTTAAAATTTAGAAACTACAAGAAACAATGCCTCTGAAGTCAACCCAATTGATATCCTTTGGAGAAATAAGAATAACGAAGAGTATCACAACATAGTGGGCCATATGTTTTGTTTACTTCAAAGAAAGATCGAGTAACCCATGTGTTATAAACGAAGTTTTACTTCAGTTTCTGTAATTAACAGCAAAGTTTCCTTTCAAATTGTTACTGTTATGGTGCCTTTGCCTTTCTTTCTGGGATAGCTTAAATCAATCGCATCATACAGTGTTACTGGTACACATATTCCCCAACAAAATTTGAGGATTAGTGGATAAACAATTATATGAAACGACGTGGCTCCTTTCAAATCGTGACCCCATAGTGCTGATTCGAAACGAGCACGGGCCATGTCGCTGAAAATCAGCACCGAACATGTTGCAACAAAAACGATAACGAGTAAGTACTTCTTGTTTTCTGTCCAAGCTCTCCACGACCGTAACAAGAAACGTGAATCCATCGCGACGTCTGATTTTGGTGACACGATCTCCTCGTTGCTCTCAGTATCGTCTTTAGCCAAGGTTACGGAAACCAAATAGAAGTCAATAGACATGGTCAAAATCAACGTAACTTTAAGGACGACTTGAAAAATGGGCGTTTGCAATAAGCAATGGTGCCAAAAGATCATTGCAGAAACGATGAATCTCAGAAGAAGCATCGCGTACAATGAAAGGCAAGAAAATGTTTTATGTTCTTCATGTACTGAGGGATGTTCATAGCACACTTTCATGATTGCCACCAG